GCATCACATCACATGCAGGCAAGCATTTGGACACATCCAAACATGAGCTTTTATTGACAATCAGCAGAAGGGAATGCAAAGAAAACAAACACAGGCTGCAGTTCACAACCAAAATACCAAAATACAGATGGCTGGGATCTTGACCATGACACTCTATGCTGGTATTCTGTACCCAGTTAGTACCTACTGGGACTGGGAGCACTCAGATAAACACTAAGTGAGTGAGCCCTAAGACAGCAAATGAGCAGCCCTGAGCTGCAGCCTGTTCCAGTCCATGAGCTGGATGCTGTCTGTGCATACAAAATTCTGAAGCCTTTCAATGCTAGTTGCCAGTGTGCCCTGCATTGCAAGTCTGTGCTTCATGAAGGCCTGGAAATTGATTAGAGAGACTGGATGCCAATGTCTGTGGATGCGGGGTGCATGTGGCTGATGTTCATGCCTCAAGATGCTGTTTAGTTCTATGCAATATGGAAGTACTTCGGAACAAGTGATGAGCTGAACCTGCCAGGTACCGGCTCAGATTTCCGTGTCAAGATTCCTTGATATCTAGCTTGTTTTGCCAGTTTGGTATGATAGGAAGCTGAGTATTAATTAGGTGAGTTGCACCACCGACAAGGCATTAAACAAACAATAATCCCTCTTAACTGGCAACTTGCCTCACCACTCAGCAAAAACACAAAGGATAGTGCAAGTTGTTCCCGACGTCGAGTTTGGCCTTGGACTTCTCATCTGATTCTGCCACAAATCATGCCACAGTCCACGTTGCGCAGACCCCCTTAAGATTTTACCCAATCTGTTAGCTAGCTCTCTCTCATACTCTGCTTTCTGTCTCTTTCTATCTTCTTAGCTTCATCTTAAAGTGTGCCAAATTTTCTGCCCTACAACTAGTCTTTGCTGATTTGTAACAAAAACAGAAATTGCTGGAAAAGCTCAGCAGATCTGGCAGCATCTGTGGAGAGAAATCAGAGTTAATGTTTCAGGTCAAGTGACCCTACCTCAGAACTCCACAGATGCTGCCAGACCTGCTGGTCTTTTTCAACAATTTCTGGTTTTGTTTCTGATTTACAACATCTGCAGTTTTATTGGTTTTTATTTTGCTGATGTGTGTATTTTTCAACTTAATACAAAACTTTATTATTTAGTCATGGATGATACATTTTCCAGAACTTTTTCCTCTTCACTGGGAAAATCTTAGCTTTTAAAATAAACTAACTGCAGATGCTGAAGATCTGAAACAAAAACAGAAATTGCTGGAAAAATTTTGGAGAGAAAGCAGAATTAATGTTTCAAGTCTAGTGATCCTTCTTCAGAGATTAACACTCGGTAATAACATTGGTACGGGCATGATGGGCAGAATGGCTTCCTTCTGTACCTTAACAATTCTGTGATTTTGTGAATTCATTTACTGGCTCCTGTTTGTTGACTTTTTCTATTTTAGAATGAGGTTGAGAATCATATAGCCTTCCTGCTTTGCAGTGAACACAGCTGATTCAGAACTGAGGAAGTGTCACTGGACCTGAAACGTTAACTCTGATTTTTTCTTCACAGATGCTGCCTGACCTGCTGAGCTTTTCCAGCAACTTCTGCTTTTATTTCACCAGCTACTTCTTTTGAGTCCATCAGGACTTGGGGATTTGTCAACTTGCAAATCCAACAAATGAATACATCCTTAGTAATTGTAATTTTCTTGAGTTCCTCCCTCCCTTTCAGTTCCTGATTTACAGCTACTTCTGGGATGCTACTTTTATCCTCTCTACAAAGACTGTTCAAAATATCTGTTCAGTTCATCTGCCAACTCTTTATCTCTTTAAATATCTGAAGAAACATTTTCAATCTGTTTTTGTAACTTTAACTCAGTTTCTCTCATACATTTTCCTCCATCTAATAATTCCAATCTATATGCAGGATAAAATCCCCCATGACAATTTCTGCACCCTTTTGATAAGCTCCCATCATTTCTCCCTCTGCACCTTGTCTTACCATGTGATTACTGTTAAGACCCCTGTACACAACTCCTACAAGTGACCTATGCCTTTATCGTTTGTCATCTCTACCCAGACTGCTTCCTATCCTGGTTTCGTAATTTAAAGCAATCCCTCTCTATAGTGCTAATATCATCTTTACTTAACAGAGCCACTCCTCCACCCCTTCTCTGCTTCATGGCCTTCTTAAATGTCACATACTCTTCAATATTCGGGTCTCAATCCAGGTAATTCCACAGCTGCATCTCAGATATGGCTGCTAGATCATACCTATTTATCTCACTTTGTATTACTAGTTTGTATTACTGCTTTGTTTAGAAAGCTACATGCATTCAAACACAGTGTCTTAAGTTTTGTCCTTTTATTATTTTTGTCATCTCTAGTCCTCTCTGTTCTTTCTGTCTCCTTTTCATCCAAGTTGTGGGAAGATCTTGGTACTGACCTGTTTAAATTCAGGGGGACAGGTGCCTTTTTTACACTTCTGGATTATAATTCTTGTTGGATTGAGATCCAAAATATAAATTGAGCTACTTCTGAAGCCATTATAACTTTTCTGAAGGTGATATTTTTCACACATGGAATCCTGCACATTGTTAGTCCTGACAATGGAGCATAATTTGCTGAACCATTACGGTCTCATATGGATCATTCCACATTACAAAATCACCAAGGTATCCTCAACACAACTGTGAAGCTAAGTGAAAGAAAATACCATAAAATGACTCCAGCAAAAGAATAAAAACTTTCATTTAGCCCTAGTTAACCAATGTTTATACTGTTACAGAATAGCTTCACACCATTCTAGCTTTTGATGGATCACAGGCAGCAAATTCAACTTCCCTCCATTTCCTAAACTAAGCCAAGAATTACAGTGTAGGACCATGAACAAGTACAACAAAAACACTGCTGAGCAGGCCAAGCCATAACGCCAAGTCATTTCAATTTGTTTTCCTTACAGCCCTCCGAGTGCAGGTTTTCCTGCCCGACAGCCAATTAGCTTCTCAATGCTAGATTAGCTGCTCACAATATGGTCTCTCTGCATTGACCAAATGTAAACTGCGTAACTCCTTTGCAGAAAACTGCCGCTCAGTCTGTAAGCACAACACCTACCTGCCAGTGCCTTGCTATTTTAACACACCATCATACTCTCCTACTCTAATTTCTGTCCTTGGTATGGTGCAATGTTCCAGTAAATCCCACTTTACAGCCTTCTGGATTCACCATTGAGTTTAAAAACTTCAGGCAGTGAACTCCTTCCTCCATTTTGTATTCCCCACCTTCTCCACCACCCACAATCCAAGCACCTCACAAGTGTTTGGTTTTCATGGTTTTGCTTTCAGTACAGCTGACCTATGTTCTACCATTAACATCTTCTATTAACACCTGCACTGGACCGATTTCTGTTTTCTTCATCCATTACTGCTGTCTTTGCCATTTATTCTGTGGTACCTGTGATCTCTAATCTTTTATTACCCGATAACGTTTTCCCCCATCTCTTCTATTCTACCTGCTTATTCCCACATTTTTCTAGTGTAAAACTCATCACTTTTCCACCTTTCACTTCAGTTCTGAAGAACGGTCGTTTTGGAATCGAAATGTCAACTCTGTCTTCAGAGATGCTGGCAGACCTGCTAAGATCCTCCAGCACTGCCATTACAAGGAGGTTTTGTGGTCGGTAGTGTCCCTGATATTCCTACTTTTAAATTAAATATTTTCCAAATTCTACATGATACTTAAAGTTTAATCATGGAATGTAGGAGTTGCTGCATAGGATATTGCCCATTCCTACTTTCCTTTAAGTGGTGATCTGCCTCCTTGAACGCTGCAATCCATGTGGTGTAAGTACATTGACAGTGCTGATGGAGAGGGAGTTCCAGGATTTTGATCCAGCAACAATGAAAAAATGCCAATAAAAGTTTTGGCAGGTGTTGGCTATGGAGTTTTGTTGGGCCATTGAGGTGCATTTTGTACATTGTAGAGACTGCTGCCACTGAACAGGGCTGCAAGGAATGAATTTTGAAGGTGTTAGAAAGGTAGGGTTCCAATCAAGTCAGCTGTTTTGACCTGGATGGTTTCGAGCCTCTTGAGTATTGTTGGAGCTGCACTCATTCAGGCAAGTGGGGAGTACTCTATCATACTCTTGACTTGAGCCTTTGGATTTTGGACAGACAGTAAGGAGTGAGAAGGTGAGTTACCTGCTCCAAACACCCAGCCTCTGACCTGTTCTTGTAGCCACATAATTTATTATTTATGTGGCTGTTCAGATCGGTTTCTGGTCAATTGTAAACCCCAGGATGTTGAATAGAGGATTCAGCAATGGTAATGCCATTGAACGTCAAAGGGTAGTAGTTAGATTCTCTCTTCCTGGACATGGTCAATGCCTGGCACTTGTGTGGCAAGGGTGTTACTTGGCATCCCAAGCCTGCATGTCATCCAGATCATGCTGCACTTGGACAAGAGACTTACTTAGTATCTGAGGAGTTGCAAAATCGTGCAGTCATTAACAAGCAACCTACTTCTGATCTTATGCTGAGGGGAAGTCGTTGATGAAAAATCTGAAGATGATTGGGCATAGAACATTACCCCAAGGATTTGGGGGCTCCAGTGATGCAGTAGTAATGTCCCTACCTCTGAGACAGTAGACCTGAGTTCAGGTCCTACCAGACTCAGACAAGTGTCATGACATATCAGATTAGGTTGATTAGAAATTTCTACCACTGAGGAATTCCAACAATGATATTCTGGAGCTAAGAACCATTTTCCTTTGTGCTAGGTATCACTCCAACCAATGGAGAGTTCTTCCTCTGATTCCCATTTATCCAGCTTTGTTTCTTGATGCACATTCAATCAAATGTTGCTTTGAAATCAAGGGCACTCATTCTCACATCTAGTTCAGCTGTTTTGTCCATATAAATATATCACATGGTTTCTGTCCTATTGAGCACTGTTCAGCTTTCATTGAACCCTTCTCTTGGCATCAAGTCTTTCTCAAATTCATAGATAGAATCCCTACAGTGTGGAAACAGGCCCTTTGGCCCAACAAGTCCACACTGCCCCTCACAGCATCCCACCCAGACCCATCCCTCATAACCCATCTAATCTACACATCACTGAACACTATAGGCAATTTATCATGGCCACCTAGCCTGCACATCTTTGGACTGTGGGAGGAAACCAGAGCACCCAGAGGAAACCCACGCAGACACGGGGAGAATGTGCAAACTCCACACAGACAGTCACCTAAGGGAGGAATCGAATAGGTTCCTGATGCTGTCAGGCAGCAGTGCTAACTACTGAGCCACCGTGCCGCCCTCAAATTGCTTTCATTGTCTTACTGGGATCATTGTTGCATGTTCTGTATTGCTCTATGTGTCAAAGAATTTGTCCCCAGTGGATTTCTGGTGGGTTTTTGTCAGATGTACAATATTTTGCAGATTTATATACTCTGTCCTTGAGGAAAGGATTCAATTGTGGTGCATCACAGTTTAAAACAGACCAGAGTTCCTGCAGCCCAGGTAGTGACATTACATGACTTCCCCAATTTATTCATTGATTAGTGCCTATTTATAGAAGGTAGATGACAGCATATTTTACATAAGACCTCCAAAGTAAATCAAATTACTGAGCAGACCTATGGTGGTACCTAACCTTGTGATGGATACACAAGCATCTTGTCACTGGCAGTCTAAGTGAAAGAGGGCAATATTATATTTAACTACCAGACTGAATAATTGAGGATGAGAGAAACCAGTTGTGGAGCTCTGGAATTCACTTCTAGGGTTAGCACTTAAGGCAAAAATGAGCAACATTCAAGATTAGAATGGAGGCATTGATGGACAAGCAGTTTAAAGGCTATGGGAACAGGGTAGAAAAATAGGTTAGAGAGAGACTATTAATTATATAAAGTTTGAGGGACACCATTCTACAAGTATGGGGGTAAGGTGAGAAATCAGGCCACTGTGAAGAGGAATTAGTCTGGGCAACATAATTGTATTTATCTCTTTGATCCATTAGCCTATTAGTGAGAAAGCAGAGACTGATGACTGTATTTTGTTAGGTTTCAATAGATTAGAAATGGATTAGCCAATTGGATAGATCGATGGCTGATGGAATTTAACCCTGACAAATGTGAGGTGATGCACTTTGGAAGAAGGAATAAGACAAAGGAGTACTCAATGAATGGCAAGACACTAGGAAGCTCAGAGGAATAGAAGGATCTTGGGGTAGGATAATAGGATAGTTCAGAAGGTATATGGGATGCCTTTATTAGCCATCGCACCAATTACACGAGCAGGGAGGTCATGTTGGAGATGTACAGAACTTTGGTTAGGCCACAGCTACTGTCTGCAGTTCTGGTCACCAAAATTATGGGAAAGATGTGATTGCACTGGAGGGAAGGCAATTCACTAGAATGTTGCCTGGGCTGCAGCAATTCAGCTGTGAAGAGAGGCAGGATAAGCTCAGGTTGTTCTTTTGAGCAGAGAAGCTTGAGGTACATGAGATAATAAGGGGCATAGACAGGGTGGATAGAAAGCAGCTGTTCCCCTTATTAAAGAATCATTAACACGGGGGCATAATTTTAAAGTGACAGAAGGTTTACAGGGGATTTGAGGAATAATGTTTTAACCCAGACTATGGTAGGAGTCCGAAATGCATTGTCTGAAGTAGTAGCTGAGGTGGGAAACTTTACAACATTTAAAAAGTATTTGGATGAGCACTTAAAGTGTCATAACATTTAAGGGTATGGTCTCAGTATGGGTAAATGGGACTAGTGCAGGTAATATATTTTTGGCGTTACAGGCTTGGACTGAAGAGCCTCTTCTGTACTGTATGATTCTACGATAATGATAACTGACCAATCCTTGTTGTCGAGTGAAATTTATCTAATTTATTGAAATATTATTAACTGTTTAAAAACTGTAGATTTCTATTCAGGAGATTTTGTGCAGGGGTAGCAGTAAGATTTCCTATGTTCAGTACTTGCACTAAAATCATAAGCAGAATCTTTGTATACTTTCTCTGCATCGCTACAAGTAAGGTAAAGTTGCCATAGTCTTGTCGACTATAGATCTGCTCTCTCATTAGAGAGAGACATGACTGATAGTAGGTTAACCTGAGAAACATCACACCTCAGGTGAGGGGGAGAATTTGAGAAGGAAGTTCTTTCATGGTAATCTCAGCCAGTGCAGGAATTAAACCCAAGCTGTTCGCATCATTGTGTGTTGCAAACCAAACATCCAGCCAACTGAGCTAACTAATCATGACAATTTTGTTACATTGGAAATGGTTTCTCAGAGATGACATAGTAAATGCAAGAAAGCATATATCTAATCTAGTTCAATCCTCATGCCAAAGCATAATATTTGACATTCAACAGATTTGATAAGTCAAAAATGACAGCACAGAAAATATTCCCATTACATACCTGATATCTTGTTGGTTGATTTATAATGCTGTTGAAACTTTGTGTTTCTGAAATCCTTAGGTTTGACTGCGCAGAAAGATTCAGCTGTGAAAACAGAATTCAAGTCTTTAATGGGATAGATTCTTGTAGAAAATGAGAAGACCACTTGACCCATCGTTCAACATTTTCTGGCTTTTTGAAAGGGCCATCCAATGAGTTCCACTATCCCAATCTCTGCCCACATCCCTGCAGTTGTTTTTTGGCTCTGTCCTTTTTCAGGTATTTACCTTGCCATTTCAACATTACTATTCAACCCATTTCCCTTGCCCTTTCAGATACTGAACTCATGGTCATAATATTACGTTACATTAATGTATCCTCCACATCACTCCCTTTCAGCTCTGAAGTTGTGTCAAAGGATTATGTATTCAACCACCACTTCAGGGATGTGATGGCATAATATAAGCTAATGCTGTGACCAGCCAGAATACGCACTGCATTGTTGGAGTTGCATCATATAAAGTGTTAAACTGAAGCCCCATGTGCTCCTTTGAGTGAGGATAAAAGATTTCATTGCACTATTCTACTGATTTGTGGAATAATGTTCAAGATGGCAGCATCCCGACTCAGTCTGAGCCTGCACCCTTTCTGTTCACTTCTCGTTTTTTTTTCTGTTCTTGTTCTTCTTCAGTTTCTTAACTTTTTTCATACTTTTTTAAAACTTACCATGTGGAGAGAGTGGCAGTGATGGCATTTGAGCATTGCAGCAGCTGAGGGCCTGGAGAGGGTCAGTGAGCAGGCCCAGGGCGGAGCGGGATGGCCAGCAGTCGGCAGGTCAGTGCGGAGCAGCCAGCGCGGAACGGCCAGCAGGCTGGGGCCCAGAGTGGGACGGCAGTGTGGCCTGTCACAGATGGCAATCAGTGGCTTGTGAGCCCAGTTGGGGTCAGCCCAGCAAGGAGGAGAGTGAGACCACATGTGGAAAGTCGCCAGTGTGGAGCTACTGTAGGCTATAGAGGACTGTAATTTTTATCCTTTAACTTTCTTTCTTCATTTTCCTAATTTAAACTATGAAGAAGTGTAATGTAGAACTTTGAGCTTCTTGTCTTTATTTCTCTATTTTTGTACCTAATCTATTTTAGTAATTAAGATTTGTACCTAGGTACTTTGTAACCAAGATGGTGCTGTGTGTGGTTACATTGTACAATTTTCACTGTACTGCTGTACTTTGGTACTTGAGTACACGTGATAATAAAACCTAATTCTAATTCTAATTTGTTTCCCTGGGTATCCTGATAATTATTTATCCTAAAGCTAATAACTAGAAAACGGACTACTTCATTTTCTCATTGTCGTTTGTGGAAGTTTACTGAACCCAAATTTGTTGCCACATTTCTTACACCACAACAATTTTATAAGTATTTAATTGGCTGTAAAGCACTTTAGGATATCAGAAGGTAATAAAAGATGCTTTATAAATACAAGTCTTTTTAAACTCTTTACATACATACCCTGGACTTTGAATTCAACATTCCAATTTCTACATCTCTCTTCAACCTTTTCCTTCTGCATTTGAACAGACCAATGAGACAGTTTTTGATTCTTAATATTAAACTTATGCACGATTTTGGAGTAGGCACAAGACTGAATGGAGGGGGTAAGGTTTTCCCATGGTCAAAGTAGAAAAGCCATAGCTTTGAACGAGCAAATTTCCATTCCACATCTGCATCATCCTAAGTAAAAAAGAGAAATAAAATACATTATCTGTTTGGCAGTAATAACAAAATGCTAATAACAAAGTCAATACAAATCATTTTAAATGTTCAGGTGGATGTTAGAAGCAAATACATTTTCTTTGTGAAATTATTTAAAAATAAAATCGTTGGCATTTTAAATTAAGTTTCTCCCTACAGGTAGTCTCTGTACATCTGCCCTTACCCAAATATCATCACACTGCTTGATCACCACTACTCTCTGCCCAATTGTGATTCACTCTCCACTCAAATGCTCCCTTTTCTCCGCAACTGCAATCACTACTCCTCCTCATCATCACTGGTTCTTTTCATACCCAATTGTTACCACTCCATTGCCCCATTCCTTACCACTTTGTCTCCCCATTGTCAAATCTCCACTACCACCATCCCTACAGTGCTGCTCACTGTGATGTCAATCAATTGCTTTGGTTTCCATGGTTACATCCACCCCCACCCCCCCCCCACTGCCGTTGTTTATCTCTCCAATCATTATATCTCCATCTCCTAGCAACTGTCACCACTCTCCAATATCACCACCAACTCATTTCCTAATCATCATTGTTTTCTTTGATTCGTACTACTTTATATCCATCCAGTTGCCAATGCATTTCACAGCCACCCTACCAATCATTGTATAGCCATCCCTCGATTTCTGGAACTTCACTCCCTCTGATTGCTACTTCTTCCTTCCCCAATCACCACACTCCAATCTCATAATTCCCGTTACGCTGCTTAAACAACGACTGATTCTTTTTCCATTTGCCTTTGCTTCAATTCTTGATCACCTTTGTTATGATCCCAGCTGATATTGTTACAGCATGAGTCAGATCCTAGACTGAAATCTGACTTGATAGATCATACTTTGTTTTTTTTAAAATTTAAAACGGTGATCTTTCATTGAAACACAAACATACAATGCTCAGATTTGGTTTTAACAATAAAACAGAAGTTTATTACCCACACAGATAAAATAGAATATTGTACTATTTACATATGATGATTTGAAAGATTTCAAAACATAGCAAAAATTCAATTTCGTCAATCCCATCAACATTTTTTTTAGTATTCAAACACGAGAGAGAATTCCCTTCTTTTATCACATCTTTAGGTTTGGCTTAGCTATTTCTTTCAATTTCCTGTCTTGAGAGCTTGATAGCCTCTTCCTTGATTATTCACATCACCAAGCTGAGACTTTCTCAGCTTTGAATAACTCCTTCATAATTCCAACCAAACACATCAGGTCTGATATTTCCAAACTAAAATTCTTAAACTGAGGTAACCTATTTCTTAAGTGTTCTACATTTTCTCCTTTCTTCAGGAAAAACTGTTCATTACATCTAACTTCAACCAGGCATTCTGTGAACAAAACTAAAAGCTTTCCATGATATGGGATTTTTCTAAACAAAAAAAAATCAATTACCAATTCTTCTCACCCAAAGCAAGTTCATGCTCTTTCATGTTTATTCTGTCTGCTCATAACACTTAACCAATGCAAACATTTCCCCATTATCTTCCAATCTCTCTCTCTCATACCGATTTTAAAAATCACAGCTCTTAAAATAAGTTAATCATTACATCCCCTCATACACACAGACCAAAGTACACATGCCATTAGATCAAAATCCAAATATAAAACCAATAATATTTATTGATGTATATAAATCATTCACCTTACATCACAACATCACACCATCTCCCTGATCAATGACAGTTTCCCCATTTCAATGGACCTATTTTCTTTTAGTCTAACTGCCTGATATTGAGGTATCTGGATGCAGTAGTATCTGAATGAGACACAGCCTCAGTTTGAACTGCACTGCCATTAGCACAACCAGGCAGCACATTTGCACACAATTCTTCAATTTGTTTAAAACCAGCCCACATATTGCTGGTTTTGAGATGGCTGTGAATTAAATGAATTGAGTAATTGTGGGGTGGGAGGAATCAGACCACTTGGTTCAGTTCATAATGTACATCAGCGTGAATCATACAATTTAGTGTAATAGAAGGTGCTCGTCAGAAGAAGAGCCAAAGTGGATTGCATTTTTCAATGCAGTCAGGTCTGAGAATATGTTATACTGATTCAATGTAAATTAGAGACCGAATTCCCATCTATACTGACTAAGCTATACAAATGCTGCCTCAAGGATGATGGACATAATTGCTCTGATATTAACAGGGAGCTGGGGAGCTCAAACAGGAGACATAAATAGCAGGAAACCAGCAAGGCCATGGATGTGGAGACCGTTCCAATGTTAACTCGAGACCTCATTAACATATTATAAGGCCGCCATACCTTGGAAACTGGTAGGCCAGTGGACATTGGGACAACAGCCAGGGATTGTTGAGGCAGTTCCCTGCTTTGCAAAGGGAGCATCAGTAATTGAGTAGTTAGGGAGGTCAACATTTGGAAGGCAAATGTGGGAGGCCCTGAAATTTCTTTGTAGGCCGTGCAACTGGAGTGCTACTTAACTAATTTACCTTGTTTACCTAATTAACAATTTGTGCAAAAAGAACCATTTATATTGGGGAGCTGGCAGGTTTCACTTTGATCTACTGATGGAAGACACATAGCTCAGACTCCCCAAAGCACCAATGAAAGCTTGCTTTCGTATGTAAATTAAAATATGTTTTGAGAGAGTCTTGTTCATGGTCTGATTTCTGTACTTTAAAATTTAAAGGAGTGGGCAGAATGACATGTTGCCCAAGCCTGATATTTCAATTTTACTCCACCAAATCTTCTCCCTCTCATCACAGTAGTTAAAACTGAGGTCAATATTTGCATAGTATCTAAATTATTGAAGCAAGCAGTATATCCTACCTCAATTTCTTGATATGAGCTATTGATCATTGCAATCAACATGTTGAGCAAGACCACCACCATAGTGACGTTGTATATTCCATATAAAACATATCCAATGTTCTCAATGAATTTGTGGTCATATTTCAGGACAACAGAAGATACTTCAGACAAACCAAAGATTGACCAGAATAGTGTTTTGAAACTTTCTTCAACTCTGAGGAAGGCAATAGTTTTAAATTTATGAAGTTCACATGTAACAGCATACTTTGTTAAACTATTAGTAATTTAAAATACTCTTGTAAAGGTAAAATCTGGCTGTAACACAACTTAATTGGCTTAGAGGAATATTTTCTGATTAACATTATAGCTTCTAATAAAATTGTTCACAATTTAGCTTTTTGATTGGTTTCCTTTTGTTTTCTATTCTTATGTAATCCCTACAAGTTTATTTGCCTTGAGGACAATCCAATTTCCTTTTGAAATCTTTAATTATCTCCACTTGCACCACCCTTGTAGGCAGTAAGTTCAAGTCACTTACTGTGTAAAAAAAGTTCCTCCTCACATTCTCTGAAACCTTATATTTGTATACTATTCCTTATACCAACAGTTATAGGAAAAAGTTTTTCTCTGTGTTCGTTATCTAAACATGTAGTAATCATGTGCACCTCTATCGAAACTCTCCTCAACCTCCCCTACTGAAAGGAGAACAGTCTCAATTTACCCAGCCTAATATTTTTAATTATTTGTCATCATCTCCCACAAAACTGTATAACTTCCCTTTAACAGGAATTTGCATATTCCTAAAACTAATGTTTTCTCATTATCATGCTTTAACTTTATCCAAAAAGAGTCAGAATATTTCCAGCATCTAGGTCCATTGGATAAGTCCCTCATTTCCAAAAAATGTCACTCCACCTTCTACCTTAACTTTCTGATTCTTTCTTAAAACATACAAAACCTTACAGGTTGACTCCATTATCTTTATTTGATTTTAGGAGACTTCTATCACTTATATAAACGTTTATTTCCTCCAGGACTTCTTGCTCACCTGTTTTATTCTTAAAACTGTTTGCAATGATATCAGAAAAAAAAGTTGTTAATATTTAATACCCTATTCTCAGTTTGTTAATCATTTTTAAGTGTGGGACATTGAATACATTTGAATGTGTTTTGAAATATCCATTGGGTTTTGTCTAAATGCAAGTTTTATTTTAATCCAGCCTATTTTGCTTTCTGCACCCCCCTTCCTAATTTTCTTCTCTTCTTTCCAGATTCAATATGGAAATTATATTTCACTGTGAAGACAGAATGTAAATTCTCTTCTAAATCTCCAATAACGTCTTTATGAAATGAATAACTAGGAGGTGCATAAGAATGAATCAGGTTCATTTGTTCTGTTATCCTTTTTTTCTCCATATTTGGCTTCTATTCAGTACCATGCTGTGATAACAAAGCTGAGAACACAAGTTTTCACTGTGGGAACCAGACATATTAAATGTCAAATATATGTTGAATGCTTGAACCTAGGGATATTACAATTTTTCCCGAAAGCAAAGTTTCCATGTGCAGAAATCAGTCAACATTATTCCATAGGTACAAAAAGTAATCAAAAGGCCAATTAAACATTAGCAGTTATTTTAAAAAGCTGAGTGCACTGTAAAGACATTTATGTTTTACTTGTACATAGTTTTAGTCAGACCCATCTGGTTTATTATGCTCAGTTTTGTGCATTGAACTATGGAACATATATATTCGTCTTAGTGGTACAACACAAATTCACCAAACTGACACAAGATTTTACAGGGACTGTATGTGGACTCTCTGCATAAACCTAACTTAGAGATGGCTAACAATTTTTCTCTTTCTTGCTTCTCCCAGGTGAATATGTTGTTGTTGGCCAACTGGGGATACAGAATGATGGGTGGGCAATAAAGGAGAGGTCATCATGATGAGTTGCATCTTTCTAGAATCAGAAAATTGGAACCAACATCCATTGTAATGATGTCATGGGGACGTGGTCAGAGTAAAGAAGGAGCTTGTAGGAGACAGACTGGAAACTGATATGTTTCTAACATATCATAAATGTTTCTAACATTCTTTGTAGCAATATAGGCCATATTTATGTGACCTGTAAATAGACCACAAACATGGCTATCCTCATCCATGCTGTACCACTTTAGGTTTGAAGAAGAAACCCAAACACACACACACTCAAACAGGAGACGATCACAGGGGTGTGATACTTTGTGACAGTAGCAGTTTATGTTATTCTTTTGGAGGCAAAAGGAGCACTTCAACTCTTTTGGCTTTCACAAAAAGAATTTTTCATTTAACTTTTTGTCTGTTTCTTTGAGCTTCAGGTTTTACTGCGTGGAGCAGCAATGACCAATGTGCTGCAAAGTAGGGACAAAAAATTTGCACTCTATCTGCATCATCTACATTGTTAACTGCTGCCACGCAAGCTAAAATAAGATAAAGTGGGAAAAGACAATGTAAAGTTCACTGCCACAAGTATAAGACTGTTTCCACCAGGCAGAAGGAGTGAAATTTATCTGTATTGAGAGGGTAAAAGGGGACATGCCTCACTCTGCATTTCTATATGTCCTTGGAATGCAGACACTGGTATCATCAACACTATTCTCCCTCAGTCCGCCAAACAATAGAAACACTATGTTACAAAAAGGGTCCTGTTTTCTCTTTTAAGTAAACAGAATTATTAGAAGGTCAATAATTTGGCAGTACCACAAGAAACACATTGGTATAGCATTTTTGAGTACCTGCATATTGCAGCATAAAGTATTAAGAAGTGTAATCAATTTCTGAACCCTGGTAAGTTTTCTGCATCCCTGTTCATACGTGGCAAGTAGATGCTCATTTGAGGCTTTCCCCATATTATTTCTATGCAACTTAAAGCAGTTGATTTGGTGTGACATTGATGGAGTGCTGAAAGCAGTTCCTGCGCCTACCTTCTCAGACTCAATTAGTGTGTCATCCTGGGAAACCAGGGGAGAAAGCAAGCAGGAATATATTTAATAAATTAACAAAATTTGTACTCACGTTGTGAAGGCTGGATTTACTTTTGCACCAAGATAGTAGGAATACAAGATAAACATCCCGATCATGAAAGCAAGAAACACCATAATAAAAATGACCATGAATTTGAATATGTCTTTCACTGTCCTTCCAAGGGAAATTTGTAATGGACCAAAGCTTTCATTTGCAGGCAGGATATAAGCGATTCGTGAAAAACTAAGAACAACCGCTATTGCATAGAGGCCTTCAGATATGATCTGAGGATCAGAAGGAACCCATCTATCTCTGGCTAAAAAGACAAGAGAAAAAATGTTAGCAGGAGAATTATTAAGTGCTGTTCCCCTGTTTGAAATAATTGCAAAATTTATCCCTTTAAAGAAACAAGAATTACTGCATCACATTCCAAATATCATATATACAAAGTAATGAATTGATAAAACCTGTTGTGTAGTCAAATAGAGAAAAATGACATAAAATGCTGGGAATAGAAACAGAGTTAGCGCTTCAAGTGAATGAACTTTCATCAGTCTGACCAGGTCATCAATGTCAACCTTTTCATTCTTTCTCGATAGATGCTGACTAAGTATTTAATTATTTCAGATTTACTTTTGAGAGAATAATGGTTATGTAAGAACAGGGACAACAGTGAAACTGGCTAGCATCTCTAATTTGACAGCCTTACAGAAGAGGGGAAATATATACAGAATAACAAGGAGATCTTTAATATGATGTTTTTTAGGTTTTGGTAAGGTCACCAATTGCTCCTGTAAATGGACCTTTGAACTGAAGTATCTTTAACAACTCAACCTCTAGGTAAATCTAGTGAACTCTTATCAATGTGCTCGGGTTTTCTGGAATATACCTTGTTTTGCTCTTGGTTTTCTCAGCTTTGAAAATCAAAAGGAAAAACAATGTCACACTGCAACTAATCAGATCAACGGGATTCATTACAGACAGCAATGCTTATAGTAATTATAAACATTACTATGGTCCCTTAGTACCTCAGCATGGCTTCAGTAATAACTATTGAACAGGAGAAAGCAAATCTCTGTTCAAAATTTTTGAAGATAAATTGGAACAAATGATATTAAAAACTGTATCTTTCTTAACTATACCACTGGTCAATCAACAATTGACATGCTGCTGATTATAAAGAATTTCCATTACAACCAGAATTAATTATGCATAATTTCCTAAATTTAACATTGTGTTTCACCAGCTACGAATGACAGTGAAGGGCAGAATATATCAACTGCATTTAACAGGTATGCCCACATTGACCACCTATTACTTCCACTCCAACAGCAATACAGCCCAGGCCCATGGGGTCATCTCTACAGTATAAGGGGGTAGGATCTGCTTCAAGCAAGTATCACTAACAGACTCACAATGGCATTCCTACCAGCAAGTGGGGGTCATTGGTAGACCACAGGTAGATTTAAACAAAAAACTCAGAAGCAGGACTTGAAAGGGTAGATACTTAATGTTTTATTTGACAGTGTAACATTCCCTCAGTGCTACACTTGAGTATCAGCTTAGATTGTGTCTAGAATACTTGGCACGGTACATGAATCTACGTAAAACCAAGTTCGGGTCCAGTTGCAGCTTTGAATCCAATCTTGGATACTGTTCTTCAGGAAGGATGCGAAAACTTTGGAGAGGGTAGGTACAAAGGAGAATTACAAGAATGGTTGCAAGAATGAGGGATGGACAGACTGGAACTGTATTCCTTAATGGAGGTGTTTAAAAAGCATGAAGAGTTTGGATGGAGTATATAATGAGAATTGAATAGTCACTTAAGAGGGTACAGGTCTAAGGTATTGACAAAAGAACATGAAGTAACATGAAGAAAAACATTTATCCGTTACCAACTGAATAGGATTTTGATTGCAGGATAGGATAGAATGGAAGACACAGATTCAACACAGCCCTCAAAAAAGAACTGGAAAAATGCTTGAAGGAGCTTAGGAATTGTAGGGTTCACTGTTCGTAGTGAGATTGCAGTGAGACTGTCCTGTAATGTGGGCAATCCCTCAGCCAATTTGCATTTGATGTGCCATCACATCAAAAATTTCATTTTCAGTGAATGCCTGCTATGTTAGCAGCACTTACTAAAGTTATCCTGTAAGAGTCAGCAATTCCAGCTGTATACAGGTCTCCCACACAAACATCAGGATGGCCGCTTGCATACAAGGTTTAAGGCCTCTCCCAACCTCTGACACATGGCTCATTACCCACTAATGTCATCCCCTTATGGAAGGTCAGTGGGCCTTTAATACAAGCTTGGAGCCACTTGCAACATCATGGGATAAGCTTGGGGCCCTGAAGAAGGAATTTAATTGCCTAGGTTATTTAGGGAAAACTCTGCAGTACATGCCTCAGTGGGTCTTCATCAATGAGGGGGTATATTGCTTTCATTCACAACCCCACAATTATATGGGCCAAGCCATAGCCTCCTGGAATTCAAAGACCAATTTGGGAGGAATAAGAAGTGGAGGACAAAGAGGGAAGAGGCCATGTGTACCATATATAATGGGATGGATTGAGGGGGACTGCACTTTGAGTCATCATTTCACTTGGACCTACTATTCCCTTCAAGTACATCTATTTCAGACTGTTGATGACAAAAGCTCTTGACCTTCAGTTTGGAGTAGTCCAACAGAGTATACAAGTTCGCAGGGAACAGCATGTGCAGCAGAGCACTCCATCTATACTGAAGTATGTCAATGATGTTTAACATTCGCTTGAGACTTAAACTCATTTGCCTTCATCTAATTTTCACAGCGTACTGTCATAACGAGTAGAATTTGTCAATGATTCTAGTGCCTCCTTGTTCAAAAATTTGTCATAGCAGCTACAGAAATAGCTCCTGCAGTCTTAAAGTAAACCTTATAGTGCAAGATGCAAGGTTGGAAGAAGTTATGGAGCTGGGAAGGATAAGGCTATGAAAACATTTTAGAATAAGGATTAGAATTTAAAAATTAAGGCTCAGCAGATTGGGAGGTCACCAGAGTCATACAGTCATACAGCCATACAGTCATGCAGAACGGCAACAGACTCTTTGGTCCAACCAGTCCATGCCAAACATAATCCCAAACGAAACTAGTCCCACCTGCCTGCTCCAGGTCCATATCCCTCCAAACCTTTCCTATTCGTGTACTTACCAAATGTCTAAGCTTAGGCTGATGGGTGAATGCTTCAAGTTAAGATACAGGCAGCATAGCTTTTTATGAATTGACATTTATCTAAAGAACAGGGGGTGGCCAGGAGAACATGAGAATTGTCCTTAATCAAACAACCAGAATAAATCAGTCAGCTCAAGATTCAAACCTTCTGCTCCCATCATTCCACCTTGCACTAACTCTAAATTTTGAAATTCTTCCCAGGTTCAAGGTGTTCAATGGTCTGTGCACTTTCCTATGTTTCATTCTTCAAATTTTCTGCACCCTCCCCTCACACAGAATTGTCATTATATAGCCCATTGTTTACGTACATTGTGAAAACTAGATGAATGAAAATGGAAAGTGCATAAATTATCATGAATGGTATGGGGGGCATAAGTAGAAACAGAGAGGACGGGGGGAAGGTTGTAAAACTGTTTGAACTTTCCCGTCCAAAACGTTCCTAAATACAGCCACGATTCATGAAAGGACACATGGAAAGCCATCTCCTGGAAAATAGCTCAACTAGTCTGACTCCCAGCAAGTGTGAGCTAAGAATGCCCATTTAATCCCAACAATATTTCATCAGAAATAGATGAAGTGTCATTGACCTGAGACATTAACTTTGTCTCTCCCTCTACAGATGCTGTCACATATACCGAGTACTTCAGCATATTATGTATTTATTTTATATTTCCAGCATCCATAGTATTTTGTATTAGTGGCACAGGTGATTAATTTTTTAAATCAAATTTGGCGCTAGCATGTATCTGTCACATTTCAGAAAACTAATCATTTTCTCTGGTTACTTCCTAATAGTAGGAGGTGGGGATTTACAAACAGCTGTCAATCTACAGAAGCATCCTTTAGCAATTAGCTTCTTGTTGGCCTCAGCACCTGCTGAAATAGATCACTTTTCACATGGAATGCCTGAGTCGTGGCCTTAAAGGCGCAAAATAGGTGAAACACAATTGCATCCCAGTAGCTGAATATCATACGGAAGAAAAGCCACAACAACTGATGCTATTAATAAAGAAGGATTCACTCAGATATAACAAATACGAATGGTTTTTTGACTTAAAGAGAGATGGACATTAATATTTATATATTTGATACATTGAAGCTAAATACCTCTAATTACTTTCAGCTCTATGCAACAGAAACCATGGAAGGTCAATGGAAGACAGTACAACGGAAGATCTGGCTATTGATGGAGGAATGTGGAAATTATGAATGGGAAGAAATTCAAGTGGGGTGTAAAATGAACAGCCAATTCATTGCTATTTTGCAGTATTGCATTGGCCATGTTAAATTGCTCATACTGTTCAGGGATGTGCAGGCTAGGTGGTTTAACCTTGGAAAATGCAGGGTTACAAGGATAGGGTAAGGATGTGGATCTAGGTGGGATGCTCTTCGGAGGGTCAGTGTGGACTCAATGGGCTGAATGGCCTGCTTCCACATTGCACAGGCTCACTTCACTTAAAAGTGAATACTTAGAAGCAAATAAACAATTTAAAACTAAATGCCAAAGAAGAAATTTTAAAATATATTGATATATTTTTTAAAATAGTGAAAATTAAATACAGAATGCAAGAGTAAATTATTTTTAATATTTAAAGAAATGCTCAACACCATGAAACTGCCATTTCCATAGTCCCAGAGGACCATGGGGTTGCCCTCTCATCGGAGGGAGATGACTGGTGGTGAGTTTAACTTGAGGTCACCACAACTCAAGTGAAGGCAAGATTGAGAAGACAGGACAGAAATTGAAACTGCACAGTTGGTATCATTCTGCATTGCAAACCAGGTGTCTGGCCAACTTAGCTGGGAATTAAAGGATGTAAGGATAATATGGGAAGGTGTAGGTTAGCCATGATTTTGTTGAAAAGTCGAGCAGATTTGAAGGGCCAAACGGCCTACCCCACTCCGATTTCTTATATCCTATGCTCTTATGACAGTTTTGTGTCCCCCAAATACTGTTCATCACATAATTACTTCAGCCTGGAAGGCAGTCACTCAGTGTTTAGCACTGCTGCCTCTCAGTGCCAGGAACCTGGGTTCGATTCCACCCTCAGGTGACAGTCCATGTGGAGTTTGCACATTCTTCCCATGTCTGCGTGGGTTTTGT